AGGAGAAATAGAACATGAGATGATATGCTATGTCCATACAAATTCTTATAAAAAGCTACTTCTGTAACAGCACAAAACAGATTACTCTCTTTTTAAAATTAGGAACTGAAAAAAATATCCAATTAGAGCAAAGGGTAAAAGAAACACATTCCTGGGAAAAATTTTTGATCAATTTTCTAAATGTTAGAATTTTCATGCACTATTATCAATTCTGACAACTCCTGGCTAAAAATGATTATCTTCTTAATGATTCTGTGCTTCTCACCCCATTTATTGTTTCAGGGGAATGACATACTCCAGAAGATCCTTAACCTTCACTGTGAAGTTGATGACTTCATTTCCGAGGTGAAGCAAAGTTTTCTGTAAACAGTGACTGCCCGTCACGATGAAGCCAGTTTCACTAAGATCCGAGAGCAATTACTCATAACGGCGCCTCTCACTGGCTTTCAGCTTCAGCACAAAGTTTTCCACACAGGTATGTTGAAAGATAGAATTAAAAATGGAACCCCTCCCCCTCCTTTTTCTAAAACAAACACCCAAGGGATTAGTGGTTTCTGGGAAGAAGATCCTGTTATAGCTGTGAGAAAATCAGCAACAGTTTGGACTTGCTTCTCATCCCTTGCCAGACGCGTTGTGTTAGCAGCACACAGGTGGAAACCAGGCTTCTTAGAGATTTAAGTGCATCTTGATGTGAGGTTTATGAGGTCTGCTCAGCCGGACGTGAGGATGTCTGCTGCTGCCTCAACCTGCTTCTCGGGGCTAATGACTACCTTTCAGTCATCATCCTGTCTGCAGATTAGCAGCACTGCCGGTGGGAACAAAGCAAAACATTCAGGAACTCGTCCTCAATCCACTGAAATCACTGATGTTCTGATTTTCCTAAAGACTCTTCATGACTAACTCTGGCTGTAGCAAGATGAACTGGAGTAGACTGTGAACCAGGTAAACAGTTTGTCCTCTTGTTTATGGCTCTAAAAGGTGTGAGACATGCATCCTTCCGTTCTGTCCTTTCCTGGACACTTCACAGTGGGCACTGCCTATTAGGGACCCTGAGGAATCTAACAATCAAGGTCTTTTCAATCTTTGTGTAACTTGGCCCTTCTCAAATTTGAGTATGGGGTATTTCTTTTCTTAAAAATATTTTATTTATTTATTTTTAGAGAGAGAAGGAGGGTGAAGGGAGGGAGAGAAACATCAGTGTGTGGTTGCCTCTCATGTGGTCCCCATTGGGGACCTGGCCCACAACCCAGGCATGTGCCCTGACTGGGAATCAAACTGGCAACCTTTTGGTTCATAGCCCATGCTCAATCCACTCAGCTACACAAGCCAAGCTTGGGTATTTCTTTTCACATAAGGACTTGTGTTCTGAGGCAGACATTCAACACCACTTCTCTGGGTTGTATTTGTTTTCCTCATTTCTGCCTGGCCTTCCAAGGCATGGGTCAAGCGTGTGTATAAAATGGGTAGGTAAGGGGGAAGTTGGGGCTTTTAACCGACCCAAATGAAAGAAATTCAAAAAAGATGGACCAAAAAATAAAAGCAAAGATACCCTTCCCCCCAACCAGGGAACTCCACAAAATTTAGTTCACATTTATTGAGGACATATTGTCAGGTACTGTTTTAAGTGCTTTATAATTAGGAAAACAGTTCATCCTCCAAACAACCCAAAGAGGTAACAGCTACCTTGATTCACATATAACAGATAAAGACGGCTGAGGCTCAGAGAGGGTGGGAAACGTACCCCAGCTAGTAAGTGGAGAAGTCACAATTTGAGCTGGGGTGGCTGCTTCTAGAATCGGTCCTCTTCAACCTTTCCAGACTGCCCTCTGAACTCTCCAAAGGGAGACAAGCCAAAGGGATCCCGCATTTCCCCAGCATGGAGACACATGTCTGTCATTCCTGGTTCCCACAGAACCTTGTCAACCCCCACCCCTCTTCATATAGCCCCTCTGCACCTTCTAGCTGTGGGACTTTGGAATGTGACTTAACCTCCATCTATTCAGGTTATGTCACGTATAAAATATAAAAAATATATATACATACTTCATGAGGATGCTGTCAGTCATGCCCGTTATATTCACCATTGTTGAGCTAGTCTCACAAGTCTCTGCCTGTTGCCCCTGGTCTGCCCTCTGCCAGCCTTTAAGGACAGGTAACACAGCACCATTCTTCAGGCTAAACATCACCCGAATTCTTCAATGGTGTCTCCCAAACTAGGGCTTTCAGAATGCTCTCCCTTCTGCTCCTGTTTTCAACAGCTCTTAGGCCAATGAGGAGCATTGTGAGAGCTTTGAATATATCATAAAAAGAGAAAGCATTTCTTCTTAAGGTCCTTAAAAAGATGAATTTCATAAGAGATGAAATGGTCAGTATCAGTATAAACTAAAATGTTAAACCTAAAACAAAATCTTATTTTGAAAAGTTTGTTTCCTTTTTTATCTGTTTTCCTTCCCAGAGTGAACATGTTAATGCAACGGTTACTGACTCTTAAGATGGACCAGTTCCAGGGTCATTTTGGGCATTAGTTGAATGAATGACTGCATATTTTTCTTCTCTGTCACTTTAATAAGAACTGAGTCCTCTGATGCAAGAAGATACTCTAAGGCGGATTTAACCAGATGACCTCTAAATTCCTTCTTAATCCTCAGATTCTGTGACTCAAGGCTTCTGCAATTTTGCTCAAAGTAAACATATACTGACGCCCTCCTCATTCCAATGCAGTAAGTTCATTGCATATGTTATTCAAAGGGAATTTCATTTATAACTGTAGTGCACATACATTATAAACATGTATTTCCCATTTCCCTTTTCTTCTCGGGGATTGTATCTGCAGAGCATGATTGCACTGGTTTTAAAGTAGTTTATCTACTCGTACTGTCAGTTTTTCAATTTGACATGTTAATTCCCTCTCTATTTTGTCAGCGCATCCTTGAGTTGTTTCCATGAGGTATAAACAAATGTTTTCAGGTACAGAAATCCAGGTCAACAGTATCCCGTATTCCCGAAGAACGGTGAGAATTCCTGGTGAGGCAGCAGCCCTTTGGAACTCAGCACAGATCTATGCAAAGGCCCAGCCCCGAGGTTAGTTCCTTGGATGACATGGGCATGGCCCGGGACACACAGGACACAGGAGAGCTTTGTGTGTAGACCCGTGACCAAAACTGATCAACGGTCACACAAGGACCTCCCTCAGAAATGTTCACAGACAGGAAAGGAATGAGGTTTTCGTAAACAGGGTGACAAAACAAAACATGGGGATCAAATAGCCTATCTTTTGTGGTCACAGACTCAGTCCATTTACTAAAGTCTAACAGTGGTGAACTCATTTGCATGTCCTTCCACTACCACATGTTTTAGTCACTAGCTGTTTCCATCTTTCTTATAGGAAGTGTTTTTAGGTAAAGAATTTAGGACTTTAATTAGGGGAGAAATATAAGCAGGAAGTATCACACTCTTAACAATTCAAGTTACAGTTTCTAAGGTCAAATCTTCAAATGTCACGTCAATCAAACCATATACACAAATTAGATACAGACACCAATGCAGGCGTTATTTTATCTCATTTTGTATTAAACTTTATTGATGCCTCCACTAGTACCTTGAAAAATACAGAAACTTCTTAACATATATCAGTCATCTGGAGGGATAAAGATACTCCAAATGCTTATTGTCAAAATTCTGGAAAAGGAGAATTTCTTTCCTTAGTATTTTAAAAACTGGTATCTAAATAAGTTAAGTTTAAACTAGGTTAGCAACTTTAGTCTTCTTCACTGAGCAGTTAAAATTGAAAAAAATTTCAAGTTCTAAATGTATAATAATAAAGACATTCAAATTGAAAATGGAAGTCTATTTTCTACTACACTTTTCTGCCAAAATGAAGATTTTTTTTCCTTCTTATTGTATTTTCTTATAAAAAACACTGTCAATTCTTTTTTTTTTTTTAAAAAAAGCAAAGTATAACAGAACTGCAGTGGAGAGGCCAACATCAGGACTTCTCCCATCTCTTCTGGGTGGTCTAGACATGTTCCTTCTCAAAACCACTTCTTCATGTTTCTTCTGTAGAGTTTCCCGGGCTTAAAATAATAGCTGGAGCGAGGTCGCATGAGACTTCGTGGCTCTGTGCTATTTTTTAAATGTGAGGCAAAGCTGGACCAGTTGATAACGTAACTCACTAAACCGAGCTGTGCTTTTGGAGCCAGTATGGGTCCAGCCGTTTGAGAGGCCCTGGTTCGTCCGCAGCTAAATATAGAGTCCATTCTTTCAGCAGCCCACTGCGTGACTGAAGAGGCCCAGGAAATAGACGACACCAAATGCCACTGTCCACAAGAGATTTGCATTTACTGCTGTTAGTATAGGTAAAGTATTTCCTTGGGCAAAAACCTCATTTATTCCACGTTTAGGGGAAACATTACATCTCAGAGCCATTGTTGCCTTTCTCTGTGGAAAGGCTTTCAATCTGCTACTATCACTGCCTTTCAATTCCTTTTCTTACAGTCAGGCATGTTCTGTGATCTAAACTTAAGTTCATTTAAAATTAGAGAAAAATTTAAGAGGCTAAAAACAAGCACAGAGTAAAACAAACAAACAAACAAACAAACAAACAAACAAACAGTTTTGCCATTAAATCTGCTCCTGGGTAACTCAGGGAATATTTCTCATTTCTATTCTGTTTCAACACCGCAGAACCACACGCTCACAGCTCCACAGCGATGTGATGTGTGTGCGAGGGACAAAACCCGGGAACCAGAAAATACAAATGTAAATGAAACTTTAGAAAACTGTAATGTTGTAATAGCTTCTTTCCTTATTTAGTCCGTTAACGTCCGTTCCACAGAAGCCCCATTTCGGTTCCCGGCGGCCGTGCACTGCGCGCCCAGATCACGAAGACCACTACTGGGGGGCAGCAGACAGCCTGTTGCCAATACCTTTTTGTGGTGAACTTGTGAAAATCTTCTGGAAGTCCAATAAAATCATATCCTGATGATTTGTTGTCTGGATTCGGGGGACCATGGAAACAGAAAAGGATAAAAACAGGGCAGACTCTTCTTGAAGTTTCTTGAACTGGGAAGTAGAAAAATAGGTGTTTTCCTTTGCGGTTTTTTTGTGGCTGAGAATGGTGAGGTTGGTATTTCTGAGAGCCCTGTTTCACTTGCCTCAGTCTTTAACGGAGTGGTAGGCTTTGGCAGTCCGGCTGTTGACGAAATCTGTCTTCTTAAACTGAGCCTTTGGAATAAGCAAACAAAAATGTGAAGGGTAACAACATTTTCACACACACAAACGCAGTTCTTAGTGATTTCTCACCAGGGTGAGTGAAGCAGACCATTAGGGTCTGATTCTGCTGACTATGACACGGGCTTTTATATTTCTAAAATATTTTTAACTTAATTTTTACTGTATTTTTTCTTTCTATCACCATTTAGTCCCCTTCTACCCCCCACCTCCCAACCCTGTGCCTTTTTAGCCCCTCTTACCTTCTTGTAGGCATTATGGAGCTCCGTGTGCATCCACAGAGAATATAAGAGAACAGAAGCCGCTTTACTTGCTTTGTTGGAGCCATAGCTAAAAGAAGAAAAGCACGTCCCGAGATCAGTGAGAATGCGTGAGGCTTCTGGAGGTGCTCTCTTGTCGTTCTGTGAACTTTCTTGAATTGCAGTTGCGCAGTAGCCACTGGCTAAGGCGGGCTACTCACAATGACAGGAGAGTTACATGGTAAGACTCAGAAGCTGGGGACCACTTTTTTAAAAAAAATATTTTATTTATTTATTTTTCGAGAGAGGGGAAGGGAAGGAGAAAGAGTAGGAGACAAATGTCAATGTATGGTTGCCTCTCATGCGTCCCCTGCTGGGAACTAGCCTGCAACCCAGGCATGTGCCCTGATGACTGGGAATCGAACCATGATCCCTTAGTTTGCAGGCCTGTGCTCAATCCACTGAGCTACACCAGCCAGGGCTATACAGTAAATTTTTGATATCTATGAGGAATATATCCTTAGACATGTTACAAATCCTTGAATTTATTTGCAGAATACAACTTATATTTGTATTGTCGTGTATAGCATATAAATATATTTGTATATTTATAATGTATGGGTATATATATACAGGAAAGAATGACTGAAAAATATACATCCCTCTCTGAGACTGAGTGACTCTATAAAGGTAAGAGTAAAGTAAGTTTTTCAAGTTAATAAAATAAGTTTTTGTTGGAGCATCTGTTAAATTATTATAGCTTCAAAATGTCTTTGCTTTTGTATAGAGCAAATGTAAAATGTGCTCCTGTTTTAAATCCAAGTTATCATTAAATTTGACATTGTACTTAGTTTTTGATGTTGTACTTTAAAATTTGTCCTAAATTTTCTGTTTCTGGCTAAGGAGAAAATGCTTTCTTTGATCTCTTTCTCTTCTGTCACCTGAACTAGTGCGTAGCTGAAAACTGTTCTTTTAACAAAGAAACCTATCTTTTGTTTTTCCTCACAGGAGTTTGTAAACATGCAACCAAGAGCAGAGAATGCAAAGCTGTATAAAGAAGTGCATGCTGGCTGGGTTCAGTCATCAGCTGTAAGCCCTTCTTTTCCACACCAGCCTGGCAGACAGAGCGAGACCAATCAGTGGCCAACAGGTTTGTTTTAGTTACTTCCTGGACTTCTCAGAGTAGCTTGCTCATAACCAAGAGACTGTTTAATCTATAAAAGCTATGGTTCTCTAATATTTAAAACTGGAAAATGTTTTTAAATAGCAAGTGAAGGGAAACAGACTATGTCACCCCCAAAATATGCCTCTATGGTATAAAGATTCTATTTACCTATCTATTTATTTATTTGTAGATTTTAGAGGGAGAGGATGGGGGAAAGAGTGGGAGAGAAACAGGATGTAAGAGAGAAACAAATTCGTTGCCTCTAGTATATGCCCTGACTGAGAATCAAAGCAATGACCCTTTGGCTTTGTGGGATGACGCCCAACCAACCAAGTCACACTGCTCAGACGTGGCACAGGGATCATTTTAGGTTGATGATTTTAGAGAAAGAGCAGACAATGAAAAAGCTCTGAAAACTGAGCAGAAGTTATACTTTTATAAGAGACGTTTACACTTACAAGAGAAATCTCCATGTGTAGGGAGTGTACCAGTAAGTGAAGGATGACTAAATCTTTAGACTTTTATCAATGGAGAAGGCAAGGACTTAAATCTGCATAACCCTTGTTTGCTGTGGTTTTCCAGGTAACCGCCTTAACTGGCCCCACCCGCCCGGCCCCCTCCACCCCACACCCCCTGCCTGACATCTTCTTTAGTGCCTGGCCATTTCTCAGAGTTATCGGGTCTCTCCTGTGTATATGGGAGGTCTCAATTCAGAATTACATAAATAAGAAAAAAGATAACCTTTGTGTCCCTTTTGGATCCTATCACTCTAAATTAAGTAATAGTAATAATTTGGTCACACAAGGTTTTTCATTCTCTTCCTCCCTTTTTCAATGGGGAAAATTCAGAGACAGAAACAGGGATGTGGAATGATGTATATGCATTAGACCCTCTATTCCAAAAAGGGAACCAAGGGTGGAGAGAGATGTGATAGAGAAAACTGAGAACGCAGTAATTCACTGTGCTGCTTCTCACTTCTTGTGTTACCACTCTTATCAGCCCCCTGGTCCGATGCTGGCTCCACAGATTTCAGAGAGGAAAACGGTATTCACTGTCCCTGGGACTCCCACTCTGCCTACTCTGCCATTCTTAAAGCACAACGGTAGTTGTGGGAAACAAATTAATCCATTAGGTCAACGAAATGCTGCAAATATGGAGTTTGACTCTCTCCGAATACTGCCCCGGTCCTCAGTCCTCAGTGACTGAAGAAGGCTCACAACTTGATGTACATGTGGGAGCTGTGGTGGGAAAGGACAGACGGCCAGCGGCCAGAGGCTCAAGGCCTTACCTATCGTCTGCGCTGATGGCCATGATTTTGTGCAGGCCCCCGGTGTTCAGAAGGTCCCGGGCATTCTGGTAACTGGTCTGGATTATGTTGTTCAGTGTATAACAGGCAGAGGCTGTAGTTTCAATGAGAACGTCAGCAGTCGGAACTGTGTCGGGAATTATGGAAACCAAATCAGGTAGAGTTTCTTTGGCTATGAAATGAAAGAAAGAGAACACCTGATTTAAAAGATTGTTCTGTAAATGCAAGATCCCAAAATGTTTTGGGTAAAGAACATTTTAAAAAGGAAACGCAAGTGGTTAACAAGCATTATGGGAAGATGTTAGCCTCTCTAATACTCAAGTTTTAACAGGATTTTTAAAAAGATATTCTGTGCTCAATACACTGGAAATATTTCCAGAAAGCAATGTGATAGAAATGTCAAGAATTTGAAAATTTTTCACATTCTTTGATTCAGAAATTCTACTTCTGGGAATTCATCCTAAAGACATTACTTTAAAAATGAAACAAAACTTTATGCAGAGATCTTCATTATAGAATTACATATAAATAAAAAATTTATAAGCCAAAATATCCCAATAACAGAATATAATGGACTAAAATACATCTGTACAGAATTTCAGGCATCACAAAAAATACACATGAAACATGTAAATAACCAGAGTATTAATATCAATATTCTACAGGAAAAATCCATATACTTATTTATATAAAAATATAAACAATTCTCCTCACTACTGTCCTTCAACGAGAGGAGGCTTATCAGTGACGTCACCTCACAGGAACTAGGGGGCTACAGGGTGACCTCCCCGACACTCTCCGAGGACCGGATCTGCGGCCAGGCAGCATCTCTGCCCCGAGGGCACAAGCACAATGTGTAGAGTGCGGTTATTCTCGTTGGCAAGGTTTTAAATTTAACGATGGAGTAAACATTTTATTTGAAAAAAAAAAAAAAAGTCAAAGGATAATACCCCTGAGTGAAGTGGAGCCCAAAGTGCACAGAAGACGATGGGGAGACACTTTTGTAATGTTGGGAGTGCCGACCGCACGGCTCCATTCAGATCCACTGAGAAGTGTCCGGGCTGCCTTTGTACTTAGAGTGGGCGTGAAACCACCTGTGCAGTGTGGTGCCGCTGGGGGTCTTTGGAAATGACACGATTAAAACAGGACCAGACTTCAATGTCTCTGATGCTGTGTGTATGTGCAGTTTCAGAATAACCCAGTCCGTTAAAAAAAACAAACAAAAAACTACTCGTAATGTTAGTGAAGTGACTAATTTATGGAGCATTAGGAAGCATAATTCATTTTAACATTATCTTCCTATTCTCGTTTTATAGTTTTTGACTTGATTCAGTTATCAGATATTTCTAGGCAAATAGATGAAAACTTGTTATGTGATAGTGTAATACAGTTATCATTTTTGTCAGTAATACAGACTCTCAAAAAAAGGAGCAAAAATGTTGCCTTGTATTTATATAAATAAACCATCTATGCCAAATCCACATATCCAGTGACTTTTTTGGTCTTTTTTTGTGATTATCTACCCATCCATACATTCCTAGCCCAACAATGGCCAAGTTTTTGACCACTGTGTGAGTGTCATTGTAATGTTTCCAAAGAGTGCTGCTTACACAGACCAGAGAGAGAACGTTCTGGAAGACAGCTACATGGATGGATTAAAAAGACTTCTCTGGATGGTACTGCTGAGGGCTGAAAAATACCAAATATATTATTTATCTTGTTAATTATTATTATGGTGTAAAATTTCCCTTCTGCAGTAATTAAAACAAAAAAAAATTGTGGATATGAAGAAAGCTCCTATTGGAGACCCAGTGAGAAAGCTTATCCTTAATGCCTGGGTGCACAAAAATCAGGTCTAGTTATCCCATTTTGTTCTTTGTTCACATTTTCGGTCCTTCATTGTAAAAAGAATGTGTTAAGGGTAATGTTTTATTGCATTTGCATTTTCAATATAGTCACATTCCATCTAGACTTATTGACTCACCGATTTCATTGCGCAGGGAAAGATTCCGAGACAAATTCCTCAGCAGGGAGACCGCAGTCTTTTTCACATTAGCATCACCAATATGCAGCATCTTCCGGGTGTGCTGAAGGCCATTCTCCTTCTGGACCACTGCCTGTGCTACAGACATCGGCATCTGTTTTGTAAACACATTCCATAAGTACTACCGCATTGACTTCATGGTTAGAGGAAGTTTCGGTAGATTACTAGAGATGGAGGAAGATACTTTAAAAACTAGAGCTGTGACAAAACCAGTCTAAAGATATTGTTTTTAAACCATTATTAGGGCTTTCAGTGGAACCACTGGATAAAAAGTTTATGCAGTATTTTTAAATACAATATTAGACTTGGTTAGCTCCTATGTCTTTTGTATCTTTTATTTAAAAAATGGGCTTGTCTTTCCTTTCTTCTCTATTGATTGGTCTGCCCTTTTTTCACATTTCCAGTTCATCATCATGGCAAGAACATGATAAAAACAATGTTTTAGCATCAAAGTTACACTATATTTATTGGTTGTTGGCTTACTCATCTTTGTTTTTTTCTTGTTCAAGTTTTGGCATTTTACATATCTTAATAAACTTATTCATTTCTAAAAAGCCAGTTTATTCCAGAAGAGACACTGGGCTTTCACATAAAGAAATGTACTGCTGGGTAGCTGATGTGTAATTCCATGCTCTGTGCCATGGGATGCATGTCCACTAGAGGCCAGTCTCTTTTGGAACGAGGCTGGTCCCTACTTCCTGGCTTCTGAGTTCTGATCAGACTCTCTCCAGCATCAACAAACCTCCAACAATGCTGATGCCTTGGCTTGTGTGTCAGTAACTTTACAGATTTCTATTTGAAGCAGATTTGAGGCCATTCATGCCAGAAGTTTCTGTAATTCATGACCATTCTTCAGGGTGTATCTTCTGTTTATCTTATTTAAACACTGTTTACCACTGACAGGTCGCTGTCCATCTCGCATGCCCCACTGTATTGTTTAGAACAGGGCTCTTCATATAGGGTCCAACATAGGTTTCAGGGAGGGGACTGGTCCTGAAAACTACTTTTGGGTTCATAATAAGCTTTCTCAGGAAAATGGTCCATAACTTTTATTAAATACTCAAGTCCCCTTAACAAAGTTTAATAACCACTATTTTAGAATGTTTGCTTTGGTGTAAATGAGTTATACTTTATCTTTCACTACTTTGCAAAACATTCCATTAAACTATTTGCTCTCCTCTGAGAAGAATCCTTCCCCTGTGGCCATCTGGAGAAGGCTATTCATTCTGTGCAACTTGTGTCTTGGGCACAGGGTAGGTTTGGCATTTCTCTCTCTTTCCAATGGCTTCTCTAGATAGTTATGTCTTCCTGCATATGCAAAACTCTGCTCTTCTGACTCACTGCCATCCAGCTATTATCACCCCCGCAGCATTTTCTTTGCCATCACAAGACCTACTGTTTTTTCCCCAATATCTACTGGGGGCTTTAGAGCCTTCTCCAGTGCCTACCTGTTGTAGATGACCACATCAAGGGGAGGAAGTAACTGAAAGTGGGTGACGGGTGAGCAGAAGGCATAGTTCCTTCTCTGACCCCTCCCCCAACATACAGTGCCACAATGCAGTGAGCTGGGTTGCCCTGCCCTGGAGAATAACTAAAGCTCCACCCCTTACAATATAACAGGTGCACTGAGACAAAAAAAATATGGCCCAAATGAAAGAACCAATGAAAACTCCAGAAAAAAATAACTCAGAAATGAAGAGATAGCCACCCTATCAGCTGCACAGTTCAAAACACTGGTGATCAGGATGCTCACAAAAATGGTTGAGTATGGTTACAAAATGAAGGAAAAAGTGAAGACTATACAAAGTGAAATAAAGAAAATGTACAGGGGACCAACAGTGAACGGAAGAAAACTAGGACTCAAATCAATGATTTGGAGCAGAAGGAAGAAGTAAACATTCAACCAGAAAACAATGAAGAAACAATTTAAAAAATGAAGAGAGGAACCTCCAGAACAACTTTAAAAGTTCCAACATCCAAATCATAGGGTACCTGAAGAATAAGAGGAGGAGCAACAAATTAAAAACTTATTTGAAAAAATAATGAAGGAGAGCTCCCCCAATCTGGCAAAAAAAAAAGACTTCCAGGAAGTCCAGGAAGCTCAGAGAGTCCCAAAGAAGTTAGACCCAAGGATGCACACACCAAGAAACATCATAATTACATTACCCAAGATAAAAGATAAGGAGAGAGAGAATCTTAAAAGCAGCAAGAGAAAAAGAGATACTTACAAAGGAGTTCCCATAAGATTATCAGCTGATTTCTCAAAAGAAACCTTATAGGCAAGAAGGGGCTAGAAAAAAGTATTCAAAGTCATGAAAGGCAAGGACCTACAGCTAAGATTGCTCTATCCAGCAAAGCTGTCAGTTAGAATGGGAGGGCAGATAGAAAGCTTCCCAGATAAGGTCAAGTTAAAGAAGTTCGTAGTCACCAAGCCCTTATTATATGACATGTTAAAGGGACTCATCTAAGGAAAAGAAGAGATCAAAACTCTGAATGGTAAAATGACAACAAACTCACAACTATCAACAATTGAACTGAAAAACAAAAATAAACATGAGCTAAGCAAACAACTAGAACAGGAACAAAATCTGAGAAATTGAGACCACATGGAGGGTTATCAGTAGGAAGGGAGAGAGGGAGAATGGGGGAAAAAGTACAGGAAATAAGAAGCATAAATGGTGGGTAGAAAATAAATAGGGGGAGGTTAAGAATAGTATGGGAAATGGAAAAGCCAAACAACTTATAAGTATGACCCACGGACATGAACTAAAAGGGGGAAATGGTGATGGGAACTGGGGTGCAGGGAGAAGGGAAATAAAGGGTAGAAAAAAATGGGACAACTGTAATAGCATAATCAATAAAATATACTTAAAAAAAACATAAACTCCACTGTTAGACTCTGAACACAACTTCCTATTCTCCTTGCTCTCTTCCTCACACTCCTACCATATTCTTCCTCAGCCTCATTAAGAACTCCTGCCCCTTTATTGTAACCTTTATGCTATCAATTCTCTCCTGCCTTAAGTTCTTCCTTACCTAGATTAAGGTACATGAACTATCACATCAAATACTATCTTTCCAATGCCCTTACCTCTTTTATCATTCTAGCTCTTTGGCCACCCACCCACCCACTGAAACTGGAAAACTGATTTATACTTGGTCACCAAATATTGCTAAATAGTACATTTGCAGGTTGTTACTTCTGCAAATGTATGGTGTTCAATCTCTACTAGGAACCAAATGTTGTTGGTCAGCTAGCTGTTTCTTGGATACTAGAGGGTGGATGCCTAAGCCTTACTTACACCAGAGGATCCTTCTAAAATTTAATCTTATTATATTCCACCTCAAGTTTAAACCCTGCAATAACTCCCAATTGCCTTGAGAACGATGTTGAAATGTTTTAGCATGGCATATATAGTCTTTCATAGCCTGGCATCTTCTTTCCTCTCTTTCCTTACCATTACTCCCTACTTCTTTAGCTTACAACTATAGTATCTGTCCTATTAGAACAAAAACTCCTTGAAAGGAGGAAATGAAACTTATCCATCTTTTCTTCCCCACAGTACCTTGCATGGTGCTGAGAACATAACAGGTCCTATATAAATGTTTATTAAATGAACTGTGTGCTGCTCTCAAGTTTTCTTGAAGATTAACTATCATCTCAAAGAATCAAGACACATTAAAATGTCACAGATAATTATTTAAAAATTTATTTCTTTTAAAATGCAAGATGTTTTACAAATTAAAATCTTGCTTTATACATATAACATACTATACCATTTAATGATATATAATAAAGAGCTCTGATGTTAATATATAAAAATAATCATTGGAAAGTCTAGGTGAATTCTGGATCCTCCAATGACGCTTTCTCAACTAAGAAAAAGCACAGCCTAGTCTCGCTCATTCTGATTCACTGAGGGGAAAGGGCAGTATTAAGTGGAATGGTCTCTAGAATCTATTCAGTAAGGAAAGTAAACAATCAGATTTACCAAATGGAGATTTTATATTTCAGTCTTAGAGAACATGTGAAATCATTTGCAAATGACTCTTCTAGATCATATTGTCCTGATTACTAACAAGGCTGAACACTGTTCAAATGATTACTAGCCAGTTCTTTACTATCTTTTGTGAGGTTCCTGCTATGTTTCTTGTCCATTTTCCTACTGCGTTGTCTATCTTTTTATTGTTGATTTGATGAGTTTAATGTTTTCTTGATACCACTGTTTTTAGCTTACCTATGTTACAAAAATCTTTTCTTGCCCTGTGGTTTGTCTTTTTATTGTCTTAACCATGTCTTTTTTTTTAAGATTTAAAAATTTTTTAAAACTTTTTAAAATTTTTAGACAGAGGGGAAGGGAGGTGGAAAGAGGACAGAAACATCAATGTGCGGCTGCCTCTTGTATGCTCCCCACTTAGGGACCTGGCCTGAAACCCAGGCATGTGTTCTGACTGGGAATTGAACCAGTGACCCTTTGGTTCATAGTCTGGCACTCAATCCACTGAGCCACACCAGCCAGAGCTTACCCATGTCTTTTGATAGCATAATAGCATAAGTTATTAGTTTTAATGTAGTCAGTCTATAAAGTAATTATTTTATGGTTAGTGCTTTTTTTGTGTCCACTTTTAAGAAATTTTTCCCTACTCCAGGCCATGAAGATATTTTTCCATGTTACCATTTAGAAGCTTCATTGTTTTATCTTTCATGTTGAAATGCTGTTGGAACTGATTCTTGGGTAAGGTGTGATATGGTAGGGATATGTTGTGTTTTCTCCAACAGATATCAAATTAAGTGGTTTTATTTTAAAGTATTTTAAAAACTGAAAAACTGCCTGGCTGGTATAGACTGAGTGCAGGCCTGCAAACCAGAGGGTTGCAGGTTTGATTCCCAGTCAGAGCACATTCCTGGGTTGTAGGCCAGGTCCTCCCTGGGGGCCATGTGAGAGGTAACTACACATTGATGTTTCTCTCCCTCCCTTCGTCCCTTCTCCTCTCTAAAAATAGGTGAAAAATTTTAAAAAACCTTAAAAACTGTTTATTTCAATGACCTTTACAATTTGATGTTTAGTCCATGATTCACTTATTTTATTGAGATATAGCTGACATATAACATTGTATTTAATACATAATATGATGATCTGATATATGCATATATTATGAAATGATCACCACAATAAATTTAGTTAACATCCATCACCACACATAGTTACAATTTATTTTCCTTCTCGTGATGAGAACTTTTAAGATCTACACTCCTAGCAACTTTCATGTACACAGTACAGTGTTGCTGTTATCACCATGCTGTTCATTACACCCCCAGGACTTAAACTTATCTTATAACCAGAAGCTTCTACCTTAATTTTTAAATTTGTATTGTACTTTTAATTTATACTGTAATTTATACTATAATTCATTTTAACATTATCTTCCTATTCTTGTTTTGTAGTTTTTGACTTGATTCAGTTATCAGTTATTTCTAGGTATAAAGCAAATAGATGAAAACTTGTTATGTGATAGTGTAACATAGTTATCATCTTTGTCAGTAATACAGACTCTCAAAAAAAGGAGCAAAAATGTTTCCTTGTATTTATATAAATAAACCATCTATGCTGAATCCACATAAATTTATACTTTATATTATAGTTAGTTTATACTTTATATTATAGTTTGCTAAATGGTACATTTTATGGATCCATCCCCTTTCCTTATTTATTATTGGAATGACCATTATATCTGAACTAATAAAGTTTATTTACTTATTTATTTACTGTTTTTCCTATTACAGTTGTCCGAATTTCTCCCCCTCTGCCCCACTCCGCCCAGCCCACTCCCCACTCCCACAGTCAATCCCCACATGGTTGTCCATTCCGTGGGTCATTCATTCATGTTCTTTGACTAGTCCTTTCCCCTTCTTTCCACCATCACCTCTCTTCTCCCCTCTAGCAGCTGTCAGTCTTGAACTAACAAAGTTTATATTAATGTAGTTTTACTGGTGAGAAATTATGTCACCATTTTATATTTCAATTCTATAATCCATCTTTTAGGAAGCTATTCATTTCAGTTAAGGACCTTTGCCATTTGAGGCCCATGGGCAATACTGCTCGACAGTTGTGAGCTCAGGGTTCGTGGACTGGTTGTTCATGCACCGATGGTTTCTGGAACTACGTGAATGGCCTGCTTTTCATGTTTTCCTACTTGATGATTTCTTGTAGAAATTATAAAACCAAGTATATTTTTTATCACACCACCTAACACCATTAGGAAAAGTAATGATTAGACAAGATATTCATAGAAGTCAAATTTTTAATAAAAATCATCTCAACTTATAGACACAAAAGGTCCTTATAACACTGTCCCATGTCACTAATTATTTCTCCTATAAATCTCCAGGCAAGTTCCATTCTACAACCTTGAGTATGGATGGATACTAGTGCTGTGTGGGCCTCCTTTCGGGGGACTGGACTGCGCTAACGTCAGGGATGACTTTGAATGCCATGACACAATTAGATCAATTAGGGCAGTTACGAAGACATCTCCACGGTGCGGATTCCATGAGAGATCTTGGAATGCGAGAGGCTAAACTCCAAGCTCAAAGGCTTTGCTCCTGGTGAGCACATAACAAGCTTAGACACAAACACACACACACACAGCGCAATTTAATTTCTGACATTTTCTTGTAAATTAGCTGGTAATAAGAGGGCCTCTGTGGTTTGGGAAAGTGACAGAAATGGTTTTGGGAAACGGAGCATTGGAAAATGAGAAGGTAAGATGATAAATTAATGTCCCTGCATCATTCGGTTCTGTTTGGTAGTTTCCCATTTCTGTTTGTGCAAAAGTATACTTTGCAGAAAATCAAACATTGAAAGTTTGTATTCTTCACCACGGTGAAAGATAAAGGTTGGTTTTAGTACTTTACAATATTATCAAAACAGAACAAGCTTCTGTGTAAACACATCAAAGAATGAATATGGTTTCTCAAATAAAGAATAAATAATATTTTTTCTTATCCACAGGAGTGCTTTTCCCTATGGGATGTATACTTGGCCAGACAATGAACTGTTTTGGGGGAACGTATTCTAATCATTTTATGATTAAGGCAATGAATATAAGTTTAGCTCAAAGAGTGAAATATTTATAGATTCCCTAAGTATGTGTAGCAAGACGCAAAATACATGGGGAAGGGACTAAGCTTCAACTTTTTTACATTTTGATTTTGCTAACATAAAGTGAGAAGCAGCTCTTGATTGTGTAGTTGGACGTTCTTGGACACAAAAGCACAGATGTCCCTTCCAACTTCATCCTGCAGTGGACATCTGTTATGTTCGCCTGCCCAGCACTCGCTGTTCCTTTTGGTAATAGTGTGCTGCTTTCCCATGAAGGTGCCACTGCTCCTTCAGCATCTCAGTCCGTTTCAGAGGTAGGAGGGGCAGTGACCCTCTCCTGATCAAACCCAGGCCTCTGAAATTCCATGTTGGGCACATTCCCCAGACCCGGCCAATCAGAACCTCTCAGGCTCCGGGCCACAGGTACTGGTTCAGAAATGGGTAAGGATGACTAACTCTCTGAGTTCTTAATAGAGGCTTTCGGGAGAAGTAATTTCCTTTCGTGTGGGAACATTGGGCTGGATAAAATGTAAGCCTGAAATTGTTAGTGGCTATTGTTGCTACAACAAGAAGAGGCCCATTAAGAATGAAACCAACCGAGGAAGACAGAGCCCAGAGGGAGTCAGGATTACAGCTGCTGGGACACCTGCTTCCCACCACAACAGAAGGGAGACCCACCTGGGCTTTGCAGTCATACAAGCTAAGGAATTACTTTTCATTGTTTTATTTATTTATTTATTTTTATCTAAGCCAGTTTAGATAGGGTTCTGAGAAAGCTCTGACTCATGTCAGTATCTGCGAGTCTTTCACTCGCAGTGACTCGGCCTCACAGAAGGCGAGGCTGTAAGTTCTAGAACTTGGCAACTCCGGCAGTTCCCGGGAACTCTCTTAACTCAAGTGAGAAGGCATTTGTTCTTACTCACTGTCTCATGTCTAAACCACACATAGGTTCATCTATAACGTCATTACTTTAAAAAGCAGAAAAACAGGCTGGATACTCACGGGTCCATTTCCGGCCGTGAGATTCTGGAGGGCTCCCAGAGATGCTTCCTGGGTGTAGCTGCGGACGCTCTTGGCGATCAAGGAGAGGTACATCCGCACCACGATGGAGTGCCACAGCCACTCCACGCCCCTGGGGTTGCTCTTCTCCTCGGGCAGAGGCATGTCCTGGTACTGCTAACCACACACACAGAGCGAAATCCAGAATTAATGCCTCCAAGTGGTTTCCACAGTTCCACACCCAAACCGAGACACCAGAAATACTGTCTGGTCTAGAGAGACTAATAATTTGTTTACTATGAAGCCCCTGAAACAGAAATTAAGAGGCAAAATATGTATGATCTCCAACAACGTAACTTTTCGCCCACGATGATGGTTTTTCCCCAGCAGCATCCCAGGCCCCCACCCGTGCATTTCACAGTGAGAAAGACCTCAGGGAACAGGGCACAGGCTGTCCTGGAACAGTGTTCAGGCTGCTGTTCAACCACAGGCTAAATTAGGCACAAACACTCTGAAGATAAGAAAAACTGGTGTCTTCCCTTGGAGTTTAGCGAAGTGGTCTGGGATCACATCAGGATTCTACATTTATCAGTTCTTCTCCAAGTTCACAAACACCACGATACTCCGAGGAGTAGGAGAGGCCATATTCTTTCAGCTTTCATGAAATGCCAGTACGGATAGTCTTCCTTCCTATGGGCTTTGCCTTTAGGATAGCCAAAGCTTGTTTTTAGAATGTCCAAATGTGACTATCAGGGCTGTTTTTAATATCAAGACAATTTATGTACCGCTGGCCATGTGGCATTAAGCCTATTTCCTGATCTACAGGGAATCCAGCAGTATGGTTAATGGCTAACAATGCAAATTCAGAGCCAGACTGCCTGGAGTGGAATCCCATCCCTTCTACTAATTTGCTGATTTATGCTGGGAAAATTGATTAACCTTACCATACCTCTGTTTCCTCTTCAGTAAAGGAGAATATTACCAGTACACATCTTGTGTCACTGATGTAGGGATTAAAATAACTCAACATAATGCCTGACACATGAAGTGAGCAAAAGTAGGTGTACAGTTGTTTGTATGGAAAATAATACAATAATTAATAAGTAATAATATAAGAATAAACCCCATGCTTCATGTACTCACAACTGTGGATCTATTTTTGCCCATCTCTGCACACTAAGTAATCAGAAATATGCACATATGAACACTTTTTTTTTTCCAAAACCCTCCCAAGATACCTCTTTAACTTTCCTGCTCCGATTGCCAAAACACCCAATACTTTTGTTGTTGTCCGTCTGGATGTTCCGGTTTTGAATATAGGCACTCTGCGAATATCTCTCTGGGAGCTCTGCCTCCAGCTGGTAGGAGAGGTTATGAAGAATACACACACAGTTTTCTGTGGCCTGAGAAAAGATACGAATATTGATCATAACCATTTAGATTCCCTTTGCAAGTGTGATGTCACAGGACTTCGTTACAAGGTTTACTGGGTGTGTAGATGGCAGAGAGCCTGGAAAGCGGAATGAGCGTGGCTAGAAAGGCTGAGGCTCAATCATAAACGCTCATGAGCACAATGCTAAGGAGTAGAGGCTGAATTTTTAAAAAGATTTTATTTATTTATTTTTAGAGCGAGGGGAAGGGAGGGAGAAAGAAAGGGAGAGAAATATGGATGTGTGAGAGATACAGCGATCGGTTGTCCCTCACATGCTCCCAACTGGGGACCTGGCCTGCAACCCAGGCATGTGCCCTGACTGGGAATTGAACCGGTGACCCTTTGGTTTGCAGGCCAGCACTCTATCTGCTAAGCCACACCATCCAGGGCATAGAGGCTGAATTTCTTAAAACACTGTAGAGGCTTTCTAGTCTACTTTTTAAAGAGTGTGTTCAGAATGATTCTGTATTTTAAGTATATAACTTAGTAGCCATGTGCAGTTGGAAAACAGGAAGTGGCATTATTTATAGAGACCAATCAGTCAATTGCAATAATCGGTATGCAAGTTGCACAGCTAGGACCGCACAGGTAGCATCAGAGAGGAGTAGATAAACCAGAGGGCATTTCAGAGGTAGCTCGGACATGATTTGTGGCTCAGTAGATGTGGGATTAGAGGGGAGGTGGCCCGAGATTATTCACATTTCTATTTTTATTTGGTGGATGGTGGTAATTATTAACAAAGATTGCAAAGAGAAGGAGCAAGTTTGGGGATGAAGCAAAAGACAAATTTACTGCCGATCATGCAGCATTTGGGCTTCTTTGAAATATCTACATAGAGTTGTTAAACAAATAGCTGGAAATTTAGGTCTGGAAAGTAGACAAATGGCACTGAACAGACTTTACTGTTCCTAAGCATGTATGGGAAATCTTAAGCTCAGTAAATGAGTTAATGAATAAAGCTAAACCTAAATAGCTACTTCAAGAACACCCTGAAGAGTCATAGTAAGATAAAATAATTCACTATGTAAAACATCGAACTCTTGCATTACCTTGTCATCTGGCTGGTAATCTGCAATGGTTCCTCGGACATAATGGACCAGTGAGTCAATGAGTCCATCACAGCTTCTCATCACCTTCCTCCCATCAGGGCCAGCTGAACTCATGTTTCTATCAGGAAAACAAACACACAAAACCATAGGACTTAGGCCATGTATCCAAGAGGCTTTTTGTTTCAAAGCTTTGCTTGATACTTTTTCCCAAGGGCTTGGAAAACTGGCAAATTTGTCAAGGTGTGATAGACTTGTCCCAGGGTCTATATCAATTGCTCGACAGTCCTTAAATTTGGACACATCTTCTAAATATATTCATGTAACATAACACCATCAATAGAAGTTTCCTGTTTACTTCACTCTAAGCATCGATGTCATAGCATTATTTCCTTAATCTTCGCCCTGTTTTTGGGAGGGTATACCTACGAAGTGAAGGTTTTGCAATTAACAAATGACAACATACACTGTGTACTAGATAGCCAAGTCTGGCCTTGTTCTGTGACTTAACTGCAATGTGCAAAAAGTTACTAAAATCCATCCAGCCTCAGTTTCCTCATTCATAAAGATAGGATGTTGTACTACATTACATGGGGATTTTGTAGGTTTCACTGTAAACTGTTATTGACAAATATTAAACCACATGCTCTAAAATGTGATGATGCTATACTTAAAATGGCAGAGAGGTGATATGAAAAATGCAGGGTTTCAGAGTGTGTTAGACCTAAGTCAAAAACGTGACCTATAAATATCTCTGCACTTAGTCTATTTCTAATTTTGCTAGGCCGTGACACCTTTCTATAAACAGTAACTAAATCTACAAGTCGAGGTTGTTTCATTATGGAGAACGGAAGCTTACTGAATCGAGCAGTGCAGCTGGGGATCACGCTTCTGATTCAGATCATGTTTATATTCAGGTATTATTATTACCATGCTCCTTTGAATTAAGTTTTTCTTGTTAGCATTAGCCATTTAAAAATATTTTCACCCCCAAATGTTAACATCTTTGTCAATAAGAATGGCCAAAGGAAAAAAAGTGCAAAGCCCTTTGCTAGCTTCAACTGCTAAGAACAATTCCTGTAAAATTTATCAGACTAGTTCCTCTTCCTGGTAGGTAGAATACTCAAAGCACATTAAAGGAATGTTCATAATTTCTCAGTGTCATTCTGAACATTGAAAAAATGACAATCATGAGAACTCTGGGGGGTCTTATTTTTTTCATTAAAAAGTAACATATTGAACTAAGTGATTCCAAAAAGACCTTCTGTACCCAAATACCACGTTCAGTGCACATTGCCGAAGAAAAAAATGTGCCCAGCATTACAGCAGGCACTAAAGGGAACAAGAGACCAAGTGCACACACTCTGTACTCTGCTCCCATTCATGCCTATAGGTTGCAACTGACAATACTTGACTATTTCTAACCCGCAAAAATGCAATGTCATGATTCAACCTAATAGTTGAAGAGATAAGACTAACTAACACACCTAAAACTAAGGATATTCTAACAACTGAAGTGCTGCTGAACTGATACATCCAATTTTTTTATTTTAATGAAATCCCTTCTGCAACCTTGATTCTCCTTTAACCATGCTAATTTAAAGATTCACTTCCTTGTTTAATTTTTACTGTGCGTGAAAAATTTTGGCACTTTGTACATTAAAAAAAAGACAAGGAAAAGGTTCATAAACTGTGAATAAAACCGTTTCTAGGACAGGTTTTTTGTCACGAAGTCATCATCTGAACCAAGATCTTCCATCTATTCTCTGACCCATCTCCTTAATTTACGCACAGAAACACTGAGGTCCAGAGACTGTTGGTGTCTCTTCCAGGTGACAGACAGTTAGTGGTCAGGCCAGGACAGGAGAGCCATTCTCCATTCTGTGTCCTGGGCTGCTCTGGACAGGACCGACCCTCGCCTAAACATTCACTCAGACTGCCATCTGTTCAGCTGATACCATATGTCCCCACTTCCAAGGCAACGCTGTCATGTTTTAAAGCTTCCCTTTGACCTTTCAACCTCTGGCTTGGAAAAATGGCTGTGGCTTAAGATTGCTCCGACAAATCAAAGGTTGGTCTTTTTCACTTGCTAAACCCACTGCATGCCTTCCAGGAGGGTGACTTTGCTTTGTTTAACTTCAGGGTGTTTATTTTGAGGGAGAGTGGTGATTCGGTTTGGCAGGACTGACAGTTCACACCCACTAACTGCTGTCTGGTAGTTTGGTATTATCCAGACTCTACTTACTTGAAATGGGACTTATCAGGGGTTTCTGGCAGTTGATACCTTTGCTGACAGAAAGCGCACGGAACCCCACTGCTTCAATATTTGCTCATGCATATCAAAGATAGTTCCTCCCTTATTCAACCACCCAGAAATATGAATGATAAGGGTGTATCACTTCATAGCACTGCATCTATGAATAGAAGTCACTAGTCAGAAAGGAATTTGTTATTGCACCAACAATAGTTATTAGAAAATAATATATCCATCTTAAAACATTTTTTTCAACAGCTAATACTTCAGTCTGTGGGAATCAGAGAATTAACATGGCTAATGTTGGGCAGAATTGATCCTTTTACAATGGATCTCCTGAATCCTGAGAAATATTTAGCTGTAATTTTTTTCTCTGCATAGCCCAATATAGGCTTAATATGGAAAAATATCTCAAAACTATAAACAAGATATATCAAGACAATTATCTTGTTAAAATATAAAAGAGAAGGAGCAAACCGAGTAGTTACTCAATAAATATTATTAGAGTTATCAATGAATATACTGGAAACATTTAACTTAGTGTCTACTGTTTGAATTAGATTAAATGATGAGTTTTTTTTAGGTTGGTACAAGCCAAAAAAAATCTAAGTAAATATGTGGGTACCTTTTAGGAAACTAAAACTGTATACTATTGCATTCTAAAGTTTAAATTCTGAACTCTGTATATCTCTGAACAAAACTTCGTGTACTTAGTATTCAGGTGTTTTATCTGAAAGCAAATCAGAGATTCATGACCCCCCCCCCCAAACTACTAATCTCACTCATTCCTGAAAGTCACAATGAAAAGGAGAAAAGAAAATCAAACACTCTGGACCTTCCTAGAATTAAAAGAAAGCACGGTATGTCTTTGTTGAGATTAAGGACAGTGTGACTAAACCTTAAATTCATATGGCACACCAAAGAATGGACGATGTCAAATGATAAAAGTAGCTGCAATTCAAGTGTGTACTAGACACTATTGCAGGTATTTTACGAATACCATGAACTGTAATTTTCACAAAATTCCTGATAAGGTTTGCTAAAATCTCATTCGGAATCGTGACCTGTAACTCTGCTTAAAACCAGAATTATCTGCTTCTAACAGGATTTTACTGGCGCTTCCATAAAAGGGCCGTGTGTGCCTGGCCTTGGGCAGGTGTGCTGTCGGTTAGCCAGTTCGCCAGCACTGGAAGCCCAGACTCAGAGGATGGCCAACTGGCCTGGGGAAACAATGTGCTGATACAAAATGTTTAAAGTAAAAGGGTGTAATTATTTCCAGGCCGTGAAAATAGCAGAGAATAATAGGGTTGGAGTGAATCTTTTCAAGACACTTTGCCAACAAAATAAGTAATTCTAAGAAGCAGAGACTTTTTTTTAATGGGACCATTTCTACAGGTAACAGGGCAGTTTCTTACTAACATGCAATATGTATACATGTGTGCATCGAGGACCTGCTGCCTAGGGGGCCAGTCCTAAAGTTCTAACCAGGACATCGAGACAGTGATCACCTCAGTGGGTTTTTAAAAATTGTGGGTGCATCTTCCTATTCACCCACAATCGTAGGCTTCCTGATATCATGTGTTGTAAATGGTGCCGTAGTACCAGTCAATAAAGACTTGGTGAGTCCATTCTAAGACTCCAGAGGCACTTGATAAGACACTGGCCGATAAGGAGGCATCCTTCTTCCTCTTGTTATTTGAAATTTAGGTCTGAGCTCTCATTTAACTCTCAGCTGATACATCTCAGACAGTTGGGCCTTGTCTGTGATTAGCCCAGAGAGAGCAGCAGTGGTTGCACAGAACAAAAGAGGAGCCTCGTTTGAACTGGCAGAGCAATAAAAGTCTCTGCCCGAAGAAGGGCTCGTCTGTTATTCTGAAGTCAACATCAGATCCTGAGGGTATCTGCAGACATCAGCCAAAGTCGACTGCTGTATCTGTGAACAGAAGCAACAGTGGGAGACAGAACAAAGCTCTACAACCTACACGTTTTGTTCCTTCCAGGACAAGGAATATTCACTGAACCAAGATATGTCAGCATCTGTTACACATCAAGAAACCAGAACGTGGAGGAGAAAATCTATCCTTGAAATCCTTTAGTTCTGCTTTTCTGCAGTTTTGGGTCTTTCCCAACGCGTTCTGAGTAGTCGATGCAGCCAGTAATCATCTGGCTGGTAGGCGACAGTCATTCTCCCTTGATGGAGCAGGCTGTTCAAGGCAGAGTGCCAAATTCCACTTCAAAAAAATTATAAACAGCAAACGAGTTTCTAAAATATGCCCAGAAGCCACTGGAACTTGAGCAGACATCCGTGACCTCTAAAGGAGATGTCTAGTTACCAGACTAGAACTGATGGAGATGCTGCAGACCTACAGCGGAACAGTCCAACGGCCAGCACCTCCAAGACAGGGACAGATTCTAACCACAGGACAGCAGGAAAGTCATCAGTGGCTTTATCCGAATACATCAAATCACTCATTTTTTAACTAACGATAGATGAAAAAATTTTAAGAGTAGTCCTGACTATGACGATAGCTTTCGGGTTTTTTTTTTAAGACTTTCGGTGTCGTAAGATATAGTTAATAAAGTACTATCTTAAATTGTAGGCTATACACAATTATTTTTAAACATGAAAAAGCTTTTAAAAATCGCTGACAAAGTCATTCTTGGGAGTTTCTCTTTCTGTTCAAGACAACTCACAAACTAACTGATGAAGTTAGAAAACAAGCAAGTACAGTCTTCTTGATATAATAAAAATAATTCTTTGGTCTCTTTTGCTGATTCTTCTTTCTCCATATTTTCCCTATTCATGTATTTTCTTCAGTAGTTATCCCAGGCCCAATCTAGGCAGTCAGTATTTATGGACTGATAGG